ACATCATTTTCTATAGTATAGGGTATTTCTGACATTGATTTAAAATTAATTGTAATTTTAATTTAAGGGAGAGACTATAAAAAAAATTTCGTTTTTTGTGTCTCTCCCTTAAATTAAAGTTACAATTAATTTTAAATCGATGTAAGAAATACCCTATACTATAGAAAATAATGTTGGCTTTTTGATAGGTCTAGTTTTAGTTTTCTATCCCTATTGGTTTTTACATAATGGGTATTTTTCCAAATTTTATCTCGTTTTTTGTGTCTCTCCCTTAAATTAAAAGTACAATTAATTTTAAATCGATGTTAGAAATACCCTATACTATAGAAAATGATGTTTTCTTTTTGATAGGTACAGTTTTAATTTTCTTACCCTATTGGTTTTTACATAATAGGTATTTTTCCAAATTTTATCTCGTTTTTTGTGTAAAAATTTGGAAAAATACCCATTATGTAAAAACCAATAGGGATAGAAAATTAAAACTAGACCTATCAAAAAGAAAACATCATTTTCTATAGTATAGGGTATTTCTGACATTGATTTAAAATTAATTGTAATTTTAATTTAAGGGAGAGACTATAAAAAAAATTTCGTTTTTTGTGTCTCTCCCTTAAATTAAAGTTACAATTAATTTTAAATCGATGTAAGAAATACCCTATACTATAGAAAATAATGTTGGCTTTTTGATAGGTCTAGTTTTAGTTTTCTATCCCTATTGGTTTTTACATAATGGGTATTTTTCCAAATTTTATCTCGTTTTTTGTGTCTCTCCCTTAAATTAAAATTACAATTAATTTTAAATCGATATTACAAATACCCTATACTATAAAAAATGATGTTTGCTTCTTGGTAGGTCTAGTTTTAATTTTCTATCCCTATTGGTTTTTACATAATGGGTATTTTTCAAAATTTTATCTCGTTTTTTGTGTCTCTCCCTTAAATTAAAAGTACAATTAATTTTAAATCGATGTTAGAAATACCCTATACTATAGAAAATGATGTTTTCTTTTTGATAGGTACAGTTTTAATTTTCTTACCCTATTGGTTTTTACATAATAGGTATTTTTCCAAATTTTATCTCGTTTTTTGTGTAAAAATTTGGAAAAATACCCATTATGTAAAAACCAATAGGGATAGAAAATTAAAACTAGACCTATCAAAAAGAAAACATCATTTTCTATAGTATAGGGTATTTCTGACATTGATTTAAAATTAATTGTAATTTTAATTTAAGGGAGAGACTATAAAAAAAATTTCGTTTTTTGTGTCTCTCCCTTAAATTAAAGTTACAATTAATTTTAAATCGATGTAAGAAATACCCTATACTATAGAAAATGATGTTTGCTTTTTGATAGGTCTAGTTTTAATTTTCTATCCCTATTGGTTTTTACATAATGGGTATTTTTCCAAATTTTATCTCGTTTTTTGTGTCTCTCCCTTAAATTAAAATTACAATTAATTTTAAATCGATATTACAAATACCCTATACTATAAAAAATGATGTTTGCTTTTTGATAGGTCGAGTTTTAATTTTCTATCCCTATTGGTTTTTACATAATGGGTATTTTTCCAAATTTTATCTCGTTTTTTGTGTCTCTCCCTTAAATTAAAATTACAATTAATTTTAAATGGATATAAGAAATACCCTATACTATAGAAAATGATGTTTTATTTTTGATAGGTCTAGTTTTAATTTTCTATCCCTATTGGTTTTTACATAATGGGTATTTTTCCAAATTGTATCTCGTTTTTTGTGTAAAAATTTGGAAAAATACCCATTATGTAAAAACCAAGAGGGATAGAAAAATTAAACTAGACCTATCAAAAAGAAAACATTATTTTCTATAGTATAGGGTATTTCTAACATTAATTTAAAATTAATTGTAATTTTAATTTAAGGGAGAGACTCAAAAAAAAATTTCGCTTTTTGTGTCTCTCCCTTAAATTAAAGTTACAATTAATTTTAAATGGATATAATAAATACCCTATACTATAGAAAATGATGTTTGCTTTTTGACAGGTCTAGTTTTAATTTTCTATCCCTATTGGTTTTTACATAATGGGTATTTTTCCAAATTTTATCTCGTTTTTTGTGTCTCTCCCTTAAATTAAAATTACAATTAATTTTAAATCGATGTTAGAAATACCCTATACTATAGAAAATGATGTTTGCTTTTTGATAGGTCTAGTTTGAATTTTCTGTCCCTATTGGTTTTTACATAATGGGTATTTTTCCAAATTTTTACACAAAAAACCAGATAAAATTTGGAAAAATACCCATTATGTAAAAACCAATAGGGATAGAAAATTCAAACTAGACCTATCAAAAAGCAAACATCATTTTCTATAGTATAGGGTATTTGTAACATCGATTTAAAATTAATTATAACTTTAAATCAATGTTATACTATAGAAAATGATGTTTGCTTTTTGATTGGTCTAGTTTTAATTTTCTATCCTTATTGGTTTTTACATAATGGGTATTTTACCAAATTTAATCTCGTTTTTTGTGTAAAAATTTGGAATGACATATTGTTGCCTGTTGCCTTTGAAATATCTAGAAAGATGCTTTGACTTTATCTGAGCTATAAATAACAGAAGCAAATTGCATTACTTCCCAATTAGTTTAGCTTACAAATCTAACTTTTATTATTTCTTCAAAAATTTCACCTTTGTTACTTATTAAATATGTGGGTCTGTAGTTTATAATATTTGATACAATTATTTTATTTTACGATAAATTTCAATGTCCCTTTGAAAATAAAAGGGATTATTTAATTAATATTAATTGTGACCTCTTTTTTTAATACGCACGCCTCTGGAACAGTCTATTAGAAACAACTTTATATTATGACCTTAATTGAGAACCAGTCATATAGAAAATTATCAGTCCTTACGAGTTTTTTTGTACAAGAATTTATAAATCATGCTCCAGACTCGACTTTAACGTATATATCGCCACGAAAAGGGGTAGGTAACTAAGGTTTTTGAAAAAAACATGTAACTGATGAACCGCAACATATTTTTCTTATATCTGAATGAGAATATAACTTATTGCCTTGTCTAATCGAAGTCCATATCAATATTAATTCGAAATAAATACATAATACTTTATTTCTCTACAATAATAAATTTATATATACTTAGGAAAAAAAAATACCCTTAAACAAACAAATGTAGTTTTTGTTTTAAGACAATACATACCAGTTTTTTTGTCAATTTAAAGTTAGAAAAACACTTTTTATTCAATTTTCAAAAATTATTGGCTATGTTATGATTTCTTTCTTTAAAACTAGTACAAAATGATAATGAGACAGTAAATATAATGATACTATATATTTTAGTAGCTTAAGATATGGTGTAGATAGGGGGTTGTTGAATTAAATCACCAATATAAGAAAATTTTTGTCATTTTTTCATTACAACAGAGGAAAATGAACATTAATTGTGATTAACTACAAAAAAATTATTATTAAATAGGTAATTTTACATTTTTTTTATGTAATTTCATTAATTTGATATTTTTAGAATGGCACTGACCTTGTAACGTATAGAAATATTGCATTATAAATAAAATCGTTAATTTTTACATATTTCTGTTAATATCTTATAATTAATTAACTTTTGACAACAACATCTCGAACAGTTTATATTGAATTATTTTTACGAGATGAACAATACAATCAACTACATAAATTGTGTTTTAAAATATGCATAATCATTGTTATTAACTTTTAGTAAGCCTTAACTTTACATAATAAATTTTACTATTTTTTTGGGATTGAAATAATTATGATTGTTTCATGAATACATCTTTAAGAGTTTTGATATAAGTACGTTTTTTTCACCCTTTTAGGCATCCCCTCCTAGGGATTACGCCAGACTCCCACCAATCAGGCTTGTTATCCACTCTGGTTTCCTTTCTCTTAGGGTTTACATGGCGGCACTGAGACGCACGTGGCCTATTGTGCCACCATTTGGATACCCTATTGCTTAATAAACATTCATCATACATTCATTTGACGTCGGTTAAGTCCAGCGGTCACGCATTCAAGACATTACCGGAGACATCACAGCTTAGCTGTCTTGAGAACATATAGGTTGGGTCACATTATCTTAGAAGTCAAATGTAATAAATTATTTTTAGATAGTTAAATACCCTTTAAAAACCGTCTAGCACGCTAATGACCCCAAACAGAAGTTTCCTCCAAGTCGAAAAGGTCGAAACCGTGGAATTCATTCTTCAAGCTCATGATGGAGAGCCTACAGGATCTCTTATCTAAACAAGTCGGGGCACTTAGAAATTTTTAGTGTCGCCGTTATTTGTGTGTCGGAGGGAGATAGCGCTAATATGGGCCCGAAGAAATTGAGATGTGACCAATTCTTTTATGGACGTTATCAATCAGCAGCGACACCTCTTCTGGTGTTCCTCTTTATCGCTGTCATCGGGTCGAAAACAATCTTTGAATAAGGCCGTATTAGTGGACGGGAATATTTTTAATTATATAATTTTTTTTAAGTAGATGCATTGGAGTACCTATGGGTAATTTATCGAGGAAGGTTAAATCTGATTTAAATTTAAATTTGGTATTTACTTGTGAAATAGTTGCACCACTAGCTAGATATTTGTGCGAAATTAATCAAAGAAGAATCCTTAGTTTACTTTTCCAATTAACCCAATATGCAAACAAATTCCATAAAGTGAACAGGAAAATTTGATAGAAAACCGTTTTTACTTTATCCCACACCTCAACGGGTCTCTGAAACAATACCCCTAATGAAAACTATAAATCTCTACATTCCAACAGAGTCAATATTTTGGAATCATCTCGAGTAAATAATGTAATAATACTATTTTAAAACCTGCTATCTCTACATTTACGAAAAAAAAAAGTCATGGAAGTTACAGATAAATATTTTTGGAGGATTAGTCTTTGTTGACACCGCTTTCTTATAAAATGATAAAAAGATATTTAAATTATCATAGTTTTTATTTTATTTCATTACAATAAGGTACTGCTGTCAAAATGATATTAGACTTGAAGAAAAAGTTGTATTTTAATAAAGGAAATTTTTTCCAATATTTTGCCACTCTTACAGGTGAGTTTACAAGAAAAAATTAAAGTCCTACAAGAAAATAGTTAACTATTAAAAGATTTATCTTTAAGATCAAACCGAAAACCTTGAATATTTATAATTTTTTCTGAACCCTTATTTTTAGTCCGATTTTTTTATAATCCTTCGAAAAGTATTTATTTTGAAAATTTTTAAAAGGAATTTCAAAAAAATACATTTAAGAGCCATTCTGTATTAAATCTACGAAAATTTGCTGCTTTTTGTTTTAAAAAATATCTAGTAGTTTTAAATTGGGAGGCTTTCCTACATTTTCTACAGTCTACAGTCCTCACATAAATATAATACCATAGATTACTGTAAATTTTTAGTTAACAAATGCCTTCAAATAATTTTCTTTCTCTGATTTCTCTATCTACTCCTTTCCAGAATGGGGAAAATTATTATTTTCTGGTAGAACTCCCATTCTCTTACATTTAGTTCTATTATTAATTTGTCCTTTTCTAGACATATTTTTCTAATTTCCATAAGTTCCATTAGGTATTTCATAATACACTCCTCTTCCATAAAATAATTGTTAAGGTTTTTTAAGTATGCGTTACCTTGCGTCTTCAATTAATTTTTCTCCCTTTCATCTGCAACCATTTCTTTATATTCATTACAATCTTATTCATCACTAGATTAAAAAAAAAATTATATCATATATCCACACAATCTCAGTCGTCTTCAGGGGTTGAAATTCCCTCGTAAGGGGGTAGATCAAATTCTTCTGAAAGTCTTTAACTTTAAGGTTATTATATTATCCCCTTTCAGAACACAGAACAATTATACCTTTTTTTTCTATTCCAATTTCAGGAGCATGCTCGATAATGAGCTCAGGCATAAATTTGGGCTGGACCTCACCCTACCTACCTAAATTGATGTCAAACACTTCGCTGATTCCAACAACCAGCGAAGAAGGATCATGGTGTGCCGTGGCACCTTTGATAGGATCACCGTTTGGAGCACTAACAGCCATATACCTGGTAGATAGAATAGGACGAAAAGCGACAGCATTACTAATGGCACCAATAGTATCGATTTGTTTTATTTTGATAGCATTTTCTTCGTCGATATGGGAAATAAGTTTATATAGGTTTATAATAGGTGCAACTGAAGGTGGTTCTTATACAGCATTACCTATGTATATTGGAGAAATATCTGATCCTAAGATTAGAGGCTTCCTATCAGCTACCATAGCTATATTTGCTATATTTGGTACCTTATTTATTAACGTCATAGGTTCCTGGATGGATATATTTATGTCTAGCATCGTTTGTGCTGTTATCCCGCTAATCCATTTAGTAATTTTTTCGTTCATGCCAGAATCTCCTTACTATCATATTAAGAAAAACAATCCAGCTGCTGCTAGGGAATCTTTGGAAATCTTAAGAGGTAAAGCAAGTGTAGATGATGAAATGGAAGGACTATGCAAAGCTGTAACTAGACAAGAACGGTCTGAAAAAACTGGTTTCTTGGATTTGTTCAGCGTCCCCAGTACAAGAAAAGCTTCTTTCATTTTCTTAATATTGTGCATGACCAACAAGTTCAGTGGTAAAAATCCTTGCTTGTTCTACACAGAAGCTATTTTTAAAGAAAGCGGTAGCAGTATCAATCCAACTTTATCAGTAATTATTTACTGCAGCGTAGAACTAATAGCAGTAGTTATCAGTACTTATTTTATAGTAGACAGATTTGGTAAAAGGTTACTAATGATCACTTCTACAGCCGGTTGCGCTATATCGGTATTCTTGCTAGGTCTATTCTTTTACTTCAAAGATTACCATATAGGAATAGTAGAAACTATTGATTGGCTGCCAATCACAGCTCTAGTTTCATACAACATTTTCTTCAGTATAGGTTTAGCTTTTGGTCCAGTGCTAGTCTTAAGTGAGTTCTTTCCTACAAACGTCAAAGCCAAAGCTTTGGGCGTAGCCGATACTTTCTCAGTACTAATGGGTACAATCGTATCAAAGTTGTTCCAGATAACTATGGACGAGTTTCACACTATGTCAGTTCCGTTTATATTCTTTTCCGTATGTTGTGCAGTAGGATTCGTTTTCGTAATTAAGTATGTACCAGAAACTAAAGGAAAGACTTTGGAGGAGATACAGCAGTTTCTGATTGGGGAAAGTAGTACTACTTCTATTGAGATGACTAGAGGGATTAGGCTGTAATATTCTTCGATTTTAATGGTTTTAATACATAAAAAGTTATTTTTGATTATATTGAAGGATTTATATAAATAGTTGTTGAAGTTTGGATGCACAATTAAGGTAAATTTCTTCAGGAACCCATATTATCATGACATGATTCATATTTTGTATTAAATGGTATGTATTTTAGCCAAACATTTAGAAGTCTGACAGGGATTCTGCAACCTTTCTTTTGTGTGTGTCAAAAGGACTACAGGACTAAACGATTTTTTGAACCTGCCAATTTATGTATTAATTATGTTTATATTTTTGGTAGGAACAAATGGTTTTATATTAAAACGCTTTAGAAAATTATTAATAATTTGTATTTATTATTTTTGTAATATAAACTTTTAAAGGTTGCAGACTTTTATTTTATTTATTAGCAAGAATTTTTGCAAAATTGTATTATTATTTAATTTAACTGGAATAATAATCATTAGGTAAATTTCATCATCTAATTTGGTTTGTCAATAATAAATCAAACTGACAAGGGGGTATTGTAATAAAAAGTATGACGCATGAGATTTTTAAAATAATGTCAATATGTATATTTATTCAATATTAAGTTAAATAATCTGTAAATATAGACTTATTCTAAAAAATAACGACACAATCTGATGTATGAAAAAAAATTAAGATTCAAATTATTAAAATGTCTATAATAAAAAGTTGGTTTGTACAAAAATGAAATGTTTAAATATTAGTTTAACTATATATGGATATAAATAGAGTAGGAAATACCATTTAAAATAAACTCGAAACAATAAAGTTATTAAAATTGTTTTTCTTTAACAAAATTCTGGATTAGTTGTTACAATAAACTTGTGACAGTTAAGTAATCATAAATTTATGATCTTTGATGTAATCTGTCTTAAATTTATGAATAAAAGAAAGCAATCCTTGTATTTGGCACAAAATGTCTTAATCATTTTGACTTATTTAATTTTTAACATTGATCATCTTTATTTTATATCAATGTGACAATTTATATAATTTATTCTGATTGAAATGGATTGCGATCATAGTTTTAGTTTTATTACGTCACTTCCTTGCAAGGACACCATTTGCTTAATTGTTTTTTATCCCTATTTGTTGCAGTATCGAATAAACATCTATAAAATATCGATACTGAAAGCGGTTCAACTTCTTCACATAGTAAAACATAAACGATACACTGATTTAACTGTAACTGGAAATATTTTAGCATCTGAGCGCATTATTAATTTTTATCATACTTTATCACCTACTTTAAAAGCCATTAAACAAGCCGTAACAAGCCCAATTTCCTCCTGAAGCTCAACATAAAATATCTAATTATTATTCCACCATAGAATTTCAATTAAACATCGAGTACAAATAGAAAAAAAAAAAGAAAATATTTCTAATAGAAACGCATCATATTTCTTATACAAATCTAGCGGTACCGCAACTACGAGTAGTTCGCTAGCTTTCTTAGCTCTAGTTCTATCGATAGACCAACAATTTATTATGATTACTCCAATCAAGATTAGATCAAGGAAGCTGCGCCATATAAAAACGGTTCACTCTTGTGGAATGGGAAAAAAACCATCGGCGAATTGTTTTTCTTCGACAAAAGCCGCGGTACCAGTAGTCGTTATCTAGGAAGATTGTTTCCCCTTTGTGGGTTTGTGTGAACCACTTTGTTGTTATATTGTACGACTGAAAATTTCGTTGCGAAAAAAATGACTTAATGTTAGAGCTAAGACGAATATTTTTGATTTGAATTCGTTTCCCATGGGTGTTTGTAATAATGATTTACGGTTTTTTAAGCGTACTTAACAAAGATGTTCATAAATGATAACGTATTGGCTCAGATATTCATCCCATTTAGGTAAAAAATTAATTTAAAGACTATACATTTTAAGGACGAAACCACAACAAGGATCATTAGCTGCCCAAAGAGAGTATCGACAAAGATATCTGAATCGAAATGTTCAAGGAAGACAACAAAATGTCTATGTTATTGAAAAAGTTCTTAACTATTATGAAAATAATCCCAATATTAGTATTAGACCGTTAGATTACTACTTAAAATGTATTTCATTCAACTGTATTTACCTAAATTATAAGGTAGAGACTAGAGTTAATATTTCAACCCCTTTTATCCACCTATTGTATTTAGGTTTTTTTTTTTCAAAATCAATAACTTCATTCTCTTAAAGAGGTTAATTTTTATTTCTATTGACCCCCCATTTTATGCAGAATTTTTTAAAATCAATAGGCTTCATCTCCTCATAGAGCTTGATTTTTAGTAAACATTTCATGTTGATATTGTTTTTTGTATTTAATTTTTTTTAATCCCTAAAAACCCTCTATTTTAAACAGATTTTTCAAAATCAAAGGTCTTTTTCCTCTTATAGAGCTTGATTTTTGGTAAATTTTTTTATTTGATATTATTTTTCGTTATTGAGTTGGGATTTTTTAAATAATTTAACCCCCCCTTAACCCCCCAATTTATTCAGATTTTTACTAAAAATTTCTTGTTGATATCGTTTTTCGTTTTTGATTTATAATTTTTTTTTATATTTGATAAGAAGTATTTTGATATAAATTTTTTTAAATTTGGATCAATATTAAAAATTTTGGTTATACGAGGATGTATCAGAAAATAACGAGACTGGTGCTATAGTATAACAACGAAACATTTATTTAAAAAAATTCAACAACTATCCTTCGAAGTACTCTCCATTCTGTTGAATACACTTATTTTATCGCTTTATCCACTTATCATAAACTTCTGAGAAACCATTTTTTGATAGTCTGTTTAGTATACCCATCACAGCGTTGTTGAGCTCTAAATCAGACTCAAATCTTCTACCTCTCAATTCTTTTTTGACTTCAGAAAACAAATGGAAGTCACATGGAGCAAGGTCAGGAGAGTAGGGGGGATGAACCATAATTTCAACCCCTAATTCTTCAATTGTTAGTTGACAAATCATTGATCTATGAGCCGGAGCATTGTCGTGATACAGCGTCCAGCCAAAGTCCTGATAAATCGGCCTTTTTTTCTTTAATTTTGCCTTTAAGGGTCCTCGAAGTACATTAGAATAGTACTCCCCTGTTACTGTTTGTCTTCTAGGTACAACGTGATCGTAAATAACGCCAAATTTATCAAAAAAAATCAGGTGCATCACTTTACCAGCGCTTTTAGCAGTTTTGGCCTTCTGCGGTCTTGGGCTGCCTTTATGCTTCCATTGTATACTTTGAGACTTCAATTCAGGATCGTAATGATAAAACCAACTTTCGACACATGTAACCACATTATTTAAAAACTGTGGGTTACGTTGCAATTGCCTTTTACACTGCTGACAAATTGTCACTCGATTCGCTTTTTGTTCATCGGTTATCACTTTTGGAATCCATCTTGCCGCGATCTTCCGGTACTCTAAATCTTCATGAATAATTTTTTGAGTGGTACCGTAAGACAAATTAACATTGTCAGAAATTCGTTTTATGCCAATCCGGCGATCATTTTGTATCAAGTCGTTAATTTCTGCAATTTTTGTGTCATTTCTCGCAGTTTGTAGTCGACCGGGACGAGGTTCATCTTCAACTGATTCACAACCGTCTTTAAACTTTTTATGCCACTCAAACACTCTACATCGTGATAAACTATTATCTAGATATGCACCTTTAATCATTTCAAAAGTTTCAGTTGGTGTTTTACCCAATCGAACACAAAATTTTATCGCGTATCTTCGCTCCACTTTCATTTTTCGATGGGTACGCAAAACACTGACAATTCAATAATTAATTTGTAACAAATATCAAAAGTTAAATCAAAGCCTACTTGCGGGGTAGTACATTGTCTCATTTTTTGGGTTATAAAATGTTACCTCTGAAAGAAGTTATAGCAACACTCTCGTTATATACTGATATATCCTCGTAAATCTACTCTTCACAGCCTACTATTCGAAGAGTATAACAAGTACCTATGTGAAACTATTTACTATTTTGAAAATATATTTATTTATATACAAGGTTGACCAAAAATGTCGGACAATATTTCTAGGGGTGATAAACTAGTTTTTCAAGAATATCTTTCGAACCGAATAACATATCAAGTTCAAATTTTCGGTAGTACTTTATGATACTAAGATACGGTAGTTGCACATTTTATTTTGATTCTTTCAGTTTGCTAAGGGTTGTTTTCAAGGGGTGACTTACTTCAAGTTTTTTAAAATTTGGAATATACCCCTAATTCCTTTATATAGTTTTAATATTAGTATTTTTTTATTAAAGAACCGAAAGAACCCACTTCAAAGGATATCAATAATAATAACTGAAACTATACTATAACGGTCTATTCAAAACCCAACGTCAAACAAAAATTACGTATACAGTTATAGCACTATCGCAGATTGAAAGACATAATCATCGTAGAAATTATATATCTCTGAACAGAAAACTTTCATTTCCATTATTCCATTATTGTTGTTTGATATCCAATGTCATAGGCGTTGTATTGAGAAGGCCCGAAGGCAGCATTATTTTAATTCCAACTTAACAAAGACAAATACGAGGATAGATCGCTGTAAAATTTTCAAATATAGTTTGTACAAACATACACCGTTATTATCGAAATTGTGCATAAATATTACCGAAATAGATAGAGACAGAAAATTAAGTTGATAAGCTAAAAATAAAAAAGATCGCAGTTATTAAAATAAAATGATTGTCGTTGCTCAACTTTTTCCAGGGCACCAATGGCTGCCAAGTATTATGAAACCATACATACTTAGTATCAGATATCTCAAAATAGTACACAAATAGTTCATATTATAGTATGGACTCTACTTCTAAATTTATATATTATTTTGTTGTTAAAACCGACATTAATTTCGTTCCATATCATCCAGTAGATCTGTCTTGGTCCTGTTGCAATTACCATATCATTAGAATTGTTAGTATACGGAAATGAAATTAGATACAGTGCAGACGTTGATTAAATATTCATGTACGCCCATGGTCTTGTATTATAACATTATTATTATTTGTAGTTTATAAATGCCAAGTGGGATCATATATAGTCAAAATTGCGTATTGGTTTTGGATCATAATCGATATGTATGTGTGATTTAGTTCACCAATACTTTCACTACTATGATCATTAATATTAATAAGGATATAGGTAGATATATTTAAAATCAGTATGTGTACCGTACCTATATGTTTACTGGAAATCATTAACTTGGTTTAAGTATTTTTTTTGTAATGTAATTGGAAAGTCAATAGAAAATAGAAAGCCTGACAGTTTTCTCCTATAGGTATGTAGGTAC